TGAGCTCCTTTGCTACTCGCAAGATGGTCCATAGATCAGCAGCATAGGCATCACCTGGGAGCTTGTTAGAACTGGAGAACTTTGGCCCTGCCCAGACCCCCTGAGTCAGAATGTGCATTTTCACAATTCCCCGGTCATTCCTATGTACGTTAAGTTTGAAAAGCACCGGTCTATGAAATAGCATTTTTCAGACACTGGAGAAAAGGCTGTGAGTGGAGCCATGAGGACCTAGTAGTAAACTCCCTGCATGGCCATGCTCAGAGCAGCTGTTCTCTCATCTGAAAATGAAGGGGTTGGACCGGATGATCTTTATTCTCTACCCTCACAGGCATCTCTCCTATGAGATGAGAGGAAGGAGCCCCACTCAGCTGAAGATCAGAGAGCCTCTTGCTGTGTAAAACACTCCCTAATCAGCCTTATGTCAAATCCCCCTCCCCCCGACTAACCGCAGTGACAAGTCCCAGGAGTGCACCTTGTCAGGCTGTGAATAAAGTTCAGGCAGCTTGGTTAATTACCCTGACACCGACTAGAGTTAGCTACCCAGCAGCTCGGGAACTCGTCTTAATGATTATAGGGACACGCATGTTGCAGCTTCGGGCATAACCACCCCTTTCAGCCTACAGCCTGGTTTTGGAGCCTCGAACTCAAGCAGAGGGTTCCCAAGGGCCTCAGGGTCTAGGGAAGCATAAGGAGGTCCCCCTGGCCCATTTCAACAAGGGTGTGGGTCATTTTCCATATGTGTTGTAAGTGAAGCCTTGTAAGCCTAACAGCCAACTCAGTTTCTTTCCCTCATGCCTCTGCTTGGAACCTACCCATGGTGCCCCACTGCTGTCAAGAAAAGGCTATGCATGACGTGCCCTTCCTAATGCTCCAGACACATCGCCATTAATCCCTACCTCCAACCTGTGCCCTGGCTGCGGAGAGCTACACCCAGTTCCCCCCAGGAGCACAGGCTTTCTTCTCTTTATACACGTTGCTTCTGCTCAAAACACTCTTCTCTGCCCTTGACCATGATCTTTACTTGTTCTTCGGATTTTAGTGTCTATAATGTTTTCCCCAGGAAGTTTTCATGACCCCATATGCAGGTTGGGTACCAATATTTCATAGAGTCCTGTGCTACATCAATCATACTAGATATCACACTGTATTATAAGACAGTTTCCCCCACAAGACATTGAGCTCTGGGCTGCCAAGGACCATGCTTATGAGGACAGGGATTCTTTTCTGTGTCATTGACAACTGTATCCAGGGTGTCTAGAACATTGCCTGGGATGCAGAACACACTCGATAAATGTCTATTGAATGAATGAATGAGGAAATAAATCCCCCATGCTTAGTGCAGTGTCTGGTGTAAGAAGGTTCTCAGAGTGAATGAATGAGTGAATGAATGGAGGCCTTTCTGCTTTTGACAAAGTCTGGATAGTGAGAGCTATCATTAGGAGGGATTGCTTGACAGTTTGAGGCACAAAGGTGTCCAGAAGCCCAGTCCTCTCTGCAGAGGTCTAATACCAGATGAGGAGATGACTTGTCCTCTGGCTGTGGGACCTGGGGTAACAGGTGCAGAGAAAGGACTTTTGTAAGAGGATTCCTTTGAATGAATGACCAGAGAGAAGTGTGAGAGCACCTCTTCCTCTATCCAGAGCACACATCCCCTCTCTCCTGTGGGCCCAGACTTTCATTTGGACCAAGAGACAGAAAGGGAGAAGAGGTCTCTCTAGGCAGGGTCGTCAGAGAGGAGAAAACAATCTCAATTCCCACATCCAGTAAAGGCAGAGCTGAGATCGCAAGCCACCTCTGTATGGGTCTTAAGCCCACAGCTCTTTCTAAGCATCATGCTTTGTAAAAAGCTTGGGAGTTTTATTTACTTTTTAAAAGCAAATCCCATTTAAAATTATCTATTTCTTTACATGTGGTGGCAGCAGTGGGATAATAGTCCAATGTCCATAGCAAAAATCAGGGAGAAAAGAATTGGAGCATTTCTAGAAGACTCTCCTCTTTTGTAAGCCATTTGGATTCTGGTTGCTCAGCTATTCCCTTGGGGTGTAGGGTTAGAGAAAATGGGTTATATTTTATTTACTTTGTTAAAGAAGATTCCTCTCCCTCCTTCCATCCTTCACTCCCTCCCTCCCTATTTCCCTTCTTCCCTTCTTTTTTCGTCTCTAACAACCCATTAGCCTCAGCTGGTAGTTTCCCAAGGAGCTCTGTTGGAAGGTTCCCTCTCCTGTGACCAGCAGCACAGAGCAGAGGAGGCAGGATGCGGTGATGGCTGCACATCCGGGTCTGGAAGTCAGACACATCCGGGCTTAAGCCCAGCTTTACCACGTATGAGCCATTTGATGCCTGTCAAGTGACTTAATGTCTCTGAGTCTCTGTTTTCTCATCTATATATTGAGAATAATAACAGTATTAATCACTGGGGTTTTTCTGAAATAGTGAAATAAATACAAGCAAGGTATTTAGACTGGGACCACAAACCCTAGCTACAATTCTAAAATTAGAATGTTCATAACTCATTTGGCAGTAAAATTTGATGTCGCCTGAACTCACTTGGCAACAAAATCTGATGCGAACTGATGTAAAACTATTTAGAGCTATTATTGTGACTATTCATGTGTTTTGCTGTAAAAATAATGATGTCTTTGATTACAAGGTAATACCTCAGTACCCACTGAGGGAATTAGGTAACATACACTATATGTACCACGTCACCTTTCTAAATTCTAGAATGGTTTTGTTTCCAAAATACATATGACTCCAATGATTTCATACAAGGGATTATGGGACTGCTCAGTATTTATGCATCCTTTCTGCTTCTGGGATTTTCCCAAGGTCATACAGAGACTTGTCTGCATATGGAACTGTCCTCAGGTGTTATTCATTCCAAAACCATGCCCTCGACCGAAAATCTCTCTCCAACTAACTAACTTGAACTTCCTCTCATAGAAATCCATTTCTTTGGACTGTTCAGGCTCTTCAGTTATTGAGAGAACACTTGTAAAGATGAAAGCTAGTTAAGTGAGGGTTGAAAATGAGAGGAACTCATGAACCAGAACCAAAGCGAGGGATGGGACAGGACTTGGAATCATGGTGGTGGGAAGGTGACCCACTGAGTGATGTCCATGGTTTTGTACCCAGGTCCAGCTCTGGAAGTTAAATAGAACTTTGGCAGTTATGTAATTTTAAATATATAGGGTGGATGAAGCAAGAAAATTGTCCACATTCCTTTATTTCTCAGTTATCTTTTTTTTTCTCAAAAGAATGTGGAAGAGTTTTATAATAAAAGACAAATCTAATATAGTTAACGTAGGGTTAAAAGATTGAATGTTATTTACATAAAGCAAGGAGTAAGAAAAAGTTAAGGAAAGTTGCTACAGTTGAGTCAGAAACCTAGCTCTGAGCTTCCTAGCAGCCAAGGTAAAAAAGAAAACATGATGCTTATGTGTTTTCATAGCATGTGTTTTGGGTATCCACCATGCATAACAACCTGCTCCCAAATGAAGCAGCTTAAAACAATCATTTTACTTAGCTCATGATTTTTATTGGTTAACAATTTAGGGAGGGTCTGGCTGGAAAGTTCATCTCTGATACGTACTGCATCAGCTGAGGTGACTGGAACTGGAGGATCAGCTTCCAAGATGGATTCTTTAATCACGTCTGGTGCGTGACTGCTCCTTGTTTTTGTTTTTTTCTTTTTCTTTTGTTTTCTCTTTTCATCTTTATTATCATGACTGCTCCTTGGCTTCTGTCTTTCTTCATGCAGCATCTCATCCACTAGGGCCTGTTTGTAAGGTTTGGGCTTCTTACTGCTTGACAGTCTTTGGGTATTTGCCCTTCTTACATGAAAACTGGTTTCTCAGAGGCAGCAAGTAGGAGCCACAAGAACAGTTAAAGGCCATGCCCAGAACTTCCACCAGGTTCTCTGGGTCAAAGCAGCCAGAGAACCCACCCCTTTGGGTATTTGCCCTTCTTACATGAAAACTGGTTTCTCAGAGGCAGCAAGTAGGAGCCACAAGAACAATTAAAGGCCATGCCCAGAACTTCCACCAGGTTCTCTGGGTCAAAGCAGCCAGAGAACCCACCCAGATTCAAGGAGCAGGCGAAATAGACTCCACTTCCTGGCTGGGATAGAGGACAAGGTCATATTATGAAAGAGCAGGTGGAGTGGTAGACATTGTTGAAGCCATCTTAGGAAAAATAATCCGCCACAGCAAGACAGAAAGAAGCATGTACATTTGTCAGGAGAAAAGGCGTTTTTTTCTAGCACTGAACTTGTAAGATGAATTATGTGGGTTCTCTTAGAGACAGTCATTGCACAGTGACTGAAACAATGTCACCAGGAGCCAGTTTGCAGAAGATGCAGGATCAGCTCAGGATTTTATAGACTTAGTAATTCTGAAAACTGAAAACTTTATTTCCAAGAGCTCTGGTCCTCAGAACTGAGTTGTGGTTCTCCGAACCAGATGTTCCTTTTTAATCTATTGATGGCCATGTGACATAACATCTTAAGTGTGCTGGGCCCCAACCAGCTCTCTGGGAGCAATGTAGCCGTACATTTGGCCCCTGCCCTCCTGGCCTTCCATCTTGCAGGGAGGGCAACACATGTAGCAATACAAAGTAGAGGTATAGACCCGAGATGTGTCGGATGTGGTCAGAGAGCTGCCTACGTTAGACTCCTGTTAGACTTGAGATGTCTAGACACCTAGACACTCGTGTTTGTTAAAAATCCAGATGTCTGGCCCCATCTTTACTCTGCTGAACTAGCTTCTCTGGCAGCTGGCACCCACGGAACTCAGCTTTGAACACGCTCCCCAGGCGACTCTGAACATACCGCCCTAGAGAACTGCTTGTCTGGCCCATTGTGAAAGTTCAGAGCAAGATCACTACTAGTAACCAACACTAATTGAGGACTTCCTCTTGCTCAGGGACTGTTCTAGGTATTTCATATAACATTAGTTAACCTTCATAACAGCTCAGTGAAGCATTAATTCTCCATTTTTCAGATAAAAGATTGGAGACAGAAAGAGGTTCTAAAACTTGCCCAAGGTTACACAGTTGCTAAATGGTTGATGCCAGGACTCACTTTCAGGGGTCTGATCCAAAGCCCTCCTGATGGGTTCTTATGTCCTAGTGACCAGGGAAGGCTTCTAGGACCCCTTATTTAGTGTGAAGGTGCTACCAGCTTCCTGGGGCAGGAGACTGTCATCTTCCCCTAGACCTCTGTCCTGATACTGCTAAGGTAAATGTGGAAAAACTTAAGTCCATCAGATTTGCTAATGTGCTCTTTCTTGAAGGTATCAAAGACTAGGAGAACAGACACTGATCTCATATTTTGCAGCCGATGTCTGCTAGGTATGTGACCCTCAGGCCAGAGGTTTCACTTCACATAGCCACATCTGAGTCCCAGATGATGTGGTATGATAGCCCCATGCCTACTACTGTTTGTGGATTCATTGATTCAATGATTATTTCGTTCATTCAATTCATTCATTGAATAGCTTCTCTGTGTCTACTATTTGCACTCAATTCTCAGAGAAGTAAATGTTTAGAGTACCCATTTAATAACTTAAAAGCTGATTTTACCGATTTCATTTCACTGCGAGGCCTCCCAAAGGATTAACATGTTAGTGTGTGTCCTCTCTCTCACACCAACTCACATGCCCATGAAACCGCCTCCCGTTGTTTGAAGGGAAACCTAGAAGTCTATTACCCTAGAGCTTTTTAATTCAAATCGGCTGACATTCACTGGCTTTCTGCCCTGGGGCAAATCCTCCACCTTCAGTCCTACTTTGATCCTCTAGCCCAGGCTGCTTTCATTTTACAGTTGAAGTAACAAAGGTGAAAACAGATGACAACTATTTCTAGAGAGCTGGGTCCTTTGCCCCCAACTAGGCAGTGTGGTGAGACACCACGGAGCCCGCATCACAAGGGCTGGTGATGCTTTGGAGCTTTGAAGCTTTGGCAAACCAGAAGGTTCTTCTCTAGTCCAATATTCTAGCAGCAGATTTTCTTCAACAAAGCACAGAAACCCAACATTTACAGTGCAAGCCCCGGGGGCTGGTAAAGAGTGGAGTAGGGACCCTCACCCTCACAAGCAACCTCTTGGGTATTTTCCTGGAAGGGAGAGGGGTGGGACAATGAAGCTCCAATCCTGTCATCCTACGGGGGGGGGCGGGGGGAACATCTTATAGGTGGAGAAACATCCTACGGGTGGGGCAACTAAAGGGCAGTTCTTCATTCAGGGTCAGAGCAGGAGGGAAGGTGGAAGGGGGTGGGCCAAGGAGAAACAAAAGAAAACCCAGCAAAACAGAGCACAGAGCTGTGTTTCGCATGGGAGTGGCCCTCTGCTGAATCCCTGCTCCTAAGAGGCCTGCTCCAGCCTGGTCTAGCTTATTATTCCAGAGACTCATTCTCCCGGGCAAGGTCTCTGCACTGGGCCATGCCCTCTCCTTCTTGCCCTGCCACCCCTAGCTCCACCCTCCCCCCAACCCCCAGCAATTCTCCTCTCTTCCTGAATCACCAATACAGCAGCCAGAGCTTCACCCTGGCCTTCTGCCACTCAGCTGTTGGGGAACTGGGAAGCTGGGGACATGTTCCTGGGGGTCCCTAGATAGATGGCTTTGAGTTTTTACCAGCAGAAAGGAGGTAGCCAAGTCCAGATGAGAGGTCCCCCCCCACCCAAGCCCAGCAGTGCCCTGGTGGCTTCCCTCCCAGAGTCAGGTCTTCTAAGGACCGCTTAGCAAGTGTCCCAGCTTCCAGATTGAGGCTGGCTGTTCTTGGCTCAGGGAGATGTTTTTCAGCACAGAATGCTCAGTGCAGACATCTCTGCAGGGGGTGGGGGTGTGTGGGGGGGTGAGGGTAGACCTTATGAGAATTCAGAGTGCGACTCCTCCACTCTGCCCCCTCGGTGACTTTACATGTTCCTAGGACAGCTTTCAGAAAGCCTCCTGCCTGCTACTTGCACTCGGGTGTTAGGGGGAGCCGTGCGGGGACTATATGTGGAATTTGTTGAGATCAGGCAGAAGGAAGTGAAGACACCCTCTTCTGATCCGTGACATGTGAGAACATTCTCTTGACAGAAGCAGCTCCCAGTAATAGTAACAGCTCCCGGGCCTTCGACAGGCCGCAGCCATCACCTTCAGCACCCCGCGGAGCTCAGCAGCATCCCAGCAGCAGGAGGAGGCAGAGGCTGCCTGGCGAGGGGCTAAAGACAGACACGGAGAAAGGCAGAGCCAGGGAGATGCCGAGAGCAGAGACAGGGGCACGAGAGAGACAAAGAGAAACCGGGACAAGGAGAGACCAGGACAGTGAGCCGGGGGCCCCGGGAAGTCAGAGCAAAGAGGGCACAAATAGCACTGAAGACGGAGACAGGAGATGGACGTTCAGAGAGATTTAACACCTGCCTCGTCACCACCCCTGCAGGGCCCCCCTTAGGGCCTCCCGGAATCCAGCAGACTCGTCCCCTGCCTGGAACCCAGCAGCTGGCCCCGCTGGGGAGAAAAGGAGAGACGGTGCCTCATGCCAGGCCACCAGTGGCAAAAATTTCTGCACCACTGGAGTCTACAGAGGTTTTCGGGACACAGGCTCCCCTAGTCTATAGATCTGGGAAACCGCCTTCTCCTTGATGTCGCGATTTGGTGGCTTCTGGTGGTGATATTTTAAAAAGAACATATTTTTAAAAATAAAATCTCGCTCTCTCCTGTTTAAAAATAACCTTTCCCCACCCCTGCTACCTCATTACAAAAGAAAACAATGCAAGCTCATCATGCAGAACTTGGAAAATATGAAAAGATACGGGAAAAAATAAAACATGAATTGTAATCACATCACCTAATGATAACCACTGCTGGCAATTTGATGATTTTTCTTTTAGTCTTTTGTCAATGCATAGAACTATATAATTAGCAATAATATGCTACATGCATTTTATTAAATATTACTTGACATTGCTGCTTTTATTAATGTATATATTCTAATATCTGGACAAGGCATTCTTTATTGAGGTAATCTATAGTTGGATATTTAGGTTGCATTGAACTTTGCTACCGTGAATAACACTTAATACATATTGTTCCACCTACATCTCTGCCTGAGTTTCTGAGTTTCTGTCTTCAGGATATATTTAAAGAAGGAGACTTACTGCATCAAAGTCCATGAACATGTTTAAGGCACACACACACACACATATATATGACTATATAAATATATATACACGCACACACATAAACACACACATATATATATATTTTCAAAATATGCCACTTTCCTCCCAGGAAGATTATTCAATTAAACTTCTAGTGCAATTTAGAACCGATGCTGATCACAGAACATTTGATAGTTAATGACAGTCCTTTGCAGTTTCTAAGGTAGGTTGACATAGGTGGGAGACAGGTATAATTATCTCTGTTTTTCAAAGGAGGAAACTGAGGCTCAGAGATTAAGCGACTTGCCCAAGATCTTAAACTTAACTAAGTGGTCCTCTCTACTGGTTTCCCCGTTCTACTCACACCAGCAGCACCCAGGGTTAGGCCTTCATGGGCTATCGCTTGGAGTACCCTAGAACCACCTCGCCCATTGAGGCAGCCTCTAGTCACATGCGGCTATTTACATTTATTAAAATAAAATAAAATATTTAGATCCTTCTTCACCTTAACCATATTTCAAGTGTTTAAGAACTATAGGTGGCTACCATACTGGATAGTAAATATATAGAGAGAGCATTTCCATCACAGAAAATTCTATCGGACAGCATTGCCCAAGCAGTTTGGAACCCTAACTTCCGGTGTGGATCCCCCATTCCCCACCCCCTCCCCCCAACTCTCACTCATCCTATACACCACGGATGAATTACACCTCTTAAAAACACAAATTCGACCATATCAGTCACTAGTCCAAAACCTTTATTGATGCCCTCTTACCTGTTATCTGCCACATTAAGAATAAGCAAAAATATACAACTACCTTTGCTCTTAATCTCCATTTGCTTTTCTGAACATTTATTACACACCAGCTGTGTCTGGGTTAAGGCCCTATAAGCACAGAGGCAGACAAACCATGGACTCCAATGACCCCAAAGTTTTATGAGTTAAAATAGTACACACTCCTGGCCTCCTGCCCTGAATTATTTTTCTTTAAAGCACTTAAGCACTGCCAGCATTTATTTATTGTCTGTTGCCTTTAGTAGAATGTATGCCTCACGAGGGCAGTGGCTTTCTCTGCTTTGTTGACTTCTGTGTCCACAGAGCCTTCTGTAGCACCAGGCATTTGGTAGTTGCAAAACAAATATTTATGAAAAAATAACTATATTCCAGGATATTGAGCTTCCAATTCTTTCTGATGGGCTAGAAAAAATTGGAAGTGAAACAATGCTCCAGCACAAGAGTTTGTACCTTCAGCCTGTAATACTTGAAATCTGACCCATATCCCCTCCTAATACTCAAATGCCAGCATGTCACATTCCTGCAAACAACCACCATTCCCTTCACTCCAAGGATAGAGAAAAAGGATTATACAAGATAAATTTTATGGTAACTGGTTGGTCCTAAGAAGGTTCCCAGCTGGGACTATCTCCTATTTGAAGAGATAAATCAAGCACTCAATCCCAGCAAGATACACAGCAGGAAAGTTCAAAGAAAATATTCACCAGTCTGGGGTCAAAAGAAATGAAATAAGCAACTCTCTGCAATTCTCCCATAGTACTGATTTCTGGGAAGTTTTTTTTTTTAACAGTGAGCATTCAGTTCAAGTAATCAGAATCTTTTTTAGCTACCTGGGCACTTTTTGTTCTCACGGCAGTAGTGGGACAAGCAACTGTTTAAGAGACAGTACTGATTCAAGTAGCAGCAGGACTTCAAGTCTTCAAGTGCACCATAGAGAACCGCCAACCTCTGCCCTGTTTTCCTTCATCTTCACCTTTATTCAAAGTTTTCCTATTACATGGAAAACATTTTTGTTTCCTTCTGTCGGTTTTAAAAAAGCAATGGGAGAGCCCTTATCTTTTAATAGGAAAATTTAGTTCGTTTATTTTTAGTGTAACATTTTTACACAATTTTATTCTTTACAGTTGGCTTTATGTTTGCTGTTTATTTTGTTTCTTCTTTTTTCTTTTCCTTGATTTTTACTTTATTTTTCTATTCCAGTAATGGTTTCTTTCTGTCTCCCCACACTTACAATTAAGCACATGATTCTCTACTGTATGAAAACAAAATGCCAAATGTTTCCCCTACTGCTTTCACCCTCACTCCAATACTTTAAAATCCTTTAATTCCCCACTCTTCCTTCCTACAGATGAGAA